TTTTTTTTAACTGCCTATTAGTTCTAGTAGTTAAGAGGATGCAGTAGAATGAAAAATAATTTATTTATTATAATGTATTTTGATATATCAAACATTTTATAGAAAACATTGTATATTGAAAAGATTGCAGTAATATAAACATCAAATTGCTAATATATACTCTTGTTAATTTTGTCTCCTATCATCCTATGGTACCACTGATTTTGCTCTCTTAAACGTTTGATGTTTATCTCGCCTTTACAATTGTACATGAACCAATTTTCTTTTATAATATTTGAACTGAAACAGTAAAGTTATAGAGAAAAAAAACTTCTCACCATAATATATTCGATGATGTTTTCAATCTATCCTTTATGTAAAATTTACTGTAAAAACAGTTCTGCAATATTATCTTTTCGTAGTGAAATAGTGGAAACTGTTTACCTTTTATCAAAAGCTATTCCTCTATGTCAACATTTGCATTGGTGTCTTTTTTTCTTCCCTTTTCTTTCTGACTTTTTCTCTTATGACTAAGTAGTTATGAACTTCTTATGGCACTGTAAGTATTGAGAAAGATAGTTTTGATACGTGAGGTGAGATAATGATGGGTTTAGTGGGAGAGATATTAGGGGGTTTTAAATAAAACAATACATAGAAATTGTTAAGAAATGAAACTGTTTTTTCGCTTTTAATTTTGTTGCTTTAAATTTTTTCTTTAAATTTTATATCACATGACACATGTCACAATTTGATTAATCATGTGACTTGTACTTTAGTATATAAAGGATATGAAAATATTAATATATGAAATATAGCATCATATCATCGATTTGTAATGCATATACCAAAAAATATCAACAAAAAAATTGTAATGTTGGAAATCTATAGATTTAATCGTGTAATAAAGGTGTATAACACAATATAAATGTATGAAATATAGAATGAAATATGGTTAGATTAATTAATGGGAAGAGAGAGAATAATTTTGATATATGTAATATTTGATATGATTTATAACAAATCGATATATATATATATAGATGTAAGCCCAAAAAAAATAATTACCAAAATACCATTAATGAGGAAGCAAACAATTTCCATCAGTCGATTTTTCAAATGTGTCTTTACTTTTAATAATATAGATTTGCATATTTAGCTCCAGTCAACTAACTCAATGTTATATATACATATATATATCTGGATATGAAAACATTCAAAAGCTTGTTGAGAAGGATATTGACACTGCGTACATACAGAGGTGGGGAGTTTGTGTCAAAAGAATTCCAAGATTATTGTGATAAAGAAGGGATAAAATGACACTTAAAATCTCCATGTACACCGCAACAAAACGGTGTAGTAGAGAGAAGGAACCGAACATTGATGGAGATGACAAGGAGTATTTTGAAAGCAATGGTTGTTTCAAACTACATGTGGGGTGAAACTGTACGTCACTCTACATATTTGATCAATCTAGTTCCTACTAGAGTATTAAACAACCAAACACCGTATGAAAGTCTAATGAAGAGGAAGCCATATGTTGGACACATACGAGTTTTTTGTTGTTTATACCATGCAAAGATTGTGACATGTGTCATGTGATATAAATATGCAAATCTATATTATTAAAGAAAAACTCCAAAAAACATTGAATAAACTTTTCACCTTAATGGATCAAAAAATCAGTTATTATTTTTAAGCCCAAAAGGTATTTAATATTTTTAAACAAAACAAGATTATATGTTATTAATTATTTATTTAAATCATGTACTTTAAAACATATTAATATATTTTTTTATTTAAATAATAATCACTTTGTTTTGATAAATTTCAATGGTAACTTTTAAATAATTTATTGTTTTATTTCTCTTAAATAATTTACTGATTTAAAAAAAATGTAAAGCAAAACCAAAAACCAAATCTAAAAACTAAAATCCAAAAACTGAAAAACAGATTATATTTTTTTGCTTTTATTTATTTAGAAAATAAACTATTACAAATTTATTTAAAAAATTTTGTCATCTTTTCAGTTTTAAATTAGATGTTCGATTATTTGTGATTTGTTTGTTAGTAATATCAGTTCAAACTAACTCAGCGGGTCTAAAAATTAAAAACCCAAACCAAAAGCTGAAAATCAAAAATAGAAACTTAAAAACTAAAAACCAAAATCTAAAACAAAATCTAAAATTAGGGATGGGCAACCGGTGTACCATTCGAGTTTCGGTTCTATCTGAACCGGGTTCGGGTTTTCTTGGTGAACAAAAACAGGCCCCAATCGGGTAATATTGAAAGTCGGTTCGGTATCGGTTCGGGGGTTATACGGTTCGGGTCGGGGGTGGTTAACTGGCGTGGAACCGGTAGAACCCGGAATATTTTCGGGATCGGGTATAAATATGTATTTCGGTTATTTAAGTGTACCATTTGTAAGGTTTCTTAAATGTATTACCTTTCTGCAGAAGTGTTTCCAAGCACTGCTTTCAGTAAATGAAAGAGGCAGTTCTCCTAGCACAATCAGCTCATTCGATGCCTCTCTGAAAACAGCCTCTGGAACTTTTGATGACTTCAGATTGCCATCAGTGTTGATCTCTATATGGTTCGTACCTTGACTGGTTAACCATGCTTGATACTCTTTGCAGATGGACAGATGCTTCTGGAGGTTTGATGTCCCTGACTTGGTAGCACATGAGAAGATTTTCTGACAGTAGTGGCAGATGCATCTGTCCCGATTTTCTTTGGTTCGTGTGAAATGCTTCCAGACACCAGACCTTGGCACAACGAATTTCATCACCTTCTTTGACTGAGAAGAGACACCAGAAGTTTCATCAACGGCAATGGCTTTCCCTCGGTTTTGAGTTCGTTGGTACTCGGCTCCTTCAACTTGAACATCAACGTCCATGGATTCTTCAACAGACTGTGGGATTCTGGAGGATGATGAAACCATCTACAAGAGTATGAGTAAAACAATATCCATCAGTGACATCAGAAAAATATATTTATAGGCTATAAAACCGTAAAACAAAATTAGTTTACTCGTGATGGTTGTTCTTGAGACAAAACCGTAAGTACAAGTACAACAAATAACACAAAACAAAACCGTAAGTTCATGAAACAAAACATAAAGAAAGATAAAAAAAAATTTGATGCTTGATTACTATGAAACAAAACACGAAATTTGAAACAAAAAATCGTGATGCTTGATTAATACGAAACAAAACAGAAAAATTTCTATCTTAAAAATTCAACAAAAACGCAAAACCCGAAACCAAGAAGAAAAAAATTAAAATCCAGCATCGAGTGCTCTGTAAACGGAGGAGTACCTTTGCTTGATTACTCGAGTTATGTGGTGGAGTAGACGATGATGATACCAGAGGTATATATAGTATCTTCGACTTAGGGTTTCGGTTTCAAATCGAGGAAGAGAATCGGATACGATGTGAGAAAACAGTTGGAGATGTGATACGATTAACAGAGATAGGAAATAATTTCGGTGAGAATATCTAGGGAGACTGAGATTTAGGAAAGGTTTCATGATTCTCTCCTTGAAGATCAAGAGAAATCTAATTTTGAATGTTTGAGTATCGATACTCGATAGGAAAAGAGGGGTTAGGTTTAGCAATTTCGGGTTATGGGTGTAACCAATCGGACTCTCGGGTTTTATCCGCTCTGACCCGACACCCGACATTCTCAATAAATCAGGCCCATTCGGTTTTTTAGAAAGATCCGGTACCGGCCCATACCACTTTAAATGGACCGGGTTCGGTTCGGGTAATCGGGTTCGGGCCTTTTGCCCACGCCTATCTAAAATAAAAACTGAAACTAAAAACTAATGAATAACAATTATAACCACAAATTTTGGTGAACTGATTTTATCCCAAAACATTCTTTAAATTAAGACAAAGCTTAATTACATAATTTTTAGTTATAAAAAGTTCAAAATCTAGTTTTTTTTTTTTTATAACTGATGATAACCGGCAGATAGAAACTCAACAGAAAACCTTTTCATTGTTGCCTGATTGATCCGGTTGCTTACAATCCAGATTAATTATTATTTTGTTTGGCGAAGGGATAAATATGAGATGATAAATTTCGATTCACTGATTTTCCGTCAGTAAAATGATCGTAAACAACAATTTTCCTTGATTAAATGTTAGCCACTGCACCGAACCAATCTCAACAGTAAATAGTCTTGAATAAATTTGTATGGTATCTTTTTACCAGAAAAGTAAAATAAAATACTGTAACAGTAACAAAAAGGCAAAGTGAAGAAAACAAAAGCTAAAGAACAATGAAGGTAGAAAGAAATAAAAAAGGACAAAACCGAAAAAGAAGAAGACAGTGAGGATGAAGTTATCGGAATCCTGAACCACAGCTCATTCGGTGTCGGCGATAATGTCGTCTCCTCTTCTTCACTTTCGTTACTAGTCAAACACTTCTTCTCTGATCGGCGATTTTCTTGTTCAGGTTTGTTTCTCTTACTCCCCCTCCAATAAACTAGGGAAAACCTGAGATTTAGGGTTTTGATTTTTAAAATTTGATCAGTTCTTAGTTGAATTAAGTGTTAGAATGGCGAACTCACGTTTTATGTCATTGTTATTTCCCAAGATAACAAAGATGACGACCCAACTTGTTGTTACCATTCCATCACTTGGTTTTGATGAATTTAATTGGTAATCTGGGGACCATTTGGTATTCATGTGAAACCCTAACTAGTGGGGGACCCTGATTGAGATCGAAACCTAACTTGTTATTTATTACATTTGCTGCAGATAGATCCCGTTGGTGTTGTTGTCGTTTTGACATTGGGTGCTTGTGTTCATTTCTACAGCTTATGACATAGATTTGATGTTTTATTGTTTTATGACATAGAACTTTCTGCAAAGTACACAAGGAGGAATGGGTTTTAGGGATTAAGATGTGGGGCTATAGTTGATTCCGTTTACATTTGTGTTTCTTGACAAGTTTTGCTCATATTCTGGGCGAGTACCGTGTGGGTGGGTCCTTTTGAATAAATGCCAACCTTTTGTGTTTGTGTGATGGAGAGTTAGGGAGAGTGAGCTTAGAAAAGGAACATACTTTCTCTTGTGCCCTTTATGCTGGTCTGCCTGAAACATAGAAAGTTTTCTCTCTCCCTCCAAAGTTTATGATAAAACTGTGTGGTTCTTGACAATTTACAAGCTTTTTCTTTGTTTCTTATGGTATTTGATGTTTTTCTTCTTCTTTTAAAGGAGCTGAATTACATATTCTCTAGTCTTATCTTGTTTAATTTCTGATAACCTGTGGTTCTTTGCAGGATTTGCTGCTTTAGCTTCGGTATTAGGCTTATGAAATCAACCCACATCTTCAATGGACAGCAACATGAGATCTCCGTTGTGGGACTGGGAACATTTGATCATGTCCAACTCTTCAAAGACTGAAAATGACAAAAGACAGCCATCTAATGATTGGGAGATTGAGAAAGGTGAAGGGATTGAATCTATATTCCCCTCTTTCTCTGGCCTTGAGAGAGTCAGTAGTGGCTCTACCACCGGTCTCTGGCACTCCGCTCTATCGAAAAGCTCACAGTCCACCTCCACCAACTCATTATCTCCCATAATTAGACAAACCAAGCTTACATCAGAAAGTTCCCCTGGAGATTCTTTCAGCAACATAGATTTTGTCCAGGTGAAGACATCTACACAGCTCTCTGCTGCCTCTACTGAATCAGATCTTTGTTTAAAACTAGGAAAGCAGACGTACTCTGAAGACTTCTGGGATAGAAGCAATAATGACATTTCAGCCGTTTCCATGGAGCTGTTGACTCCTTCTGTTGTTGCTCGTAAGAAATCCAAACCGTGTGGTCAGAGCATGCAAGTCCCTCGTTGCCAAGTTGATGGCTGTGAACTGGATCTCTCATCTGCTAAGGATTATCATCGCAAGCATAGAGTCTGCGAAAAGCATTCAAAGTGCCCAAAAATTACTGTGGGTGGCCTTGAACGTCGATTCTGCCAACAGTGTAGCAGGTAAAGCCCATTTTTATGGTTGTGACCGGTGGTTATATTCATGGCATCATTTTATTGGTAGAGAATGATTCCTATTTTCATTTTCAGGTTGCATGCCGTCTCTGAATTTGATGAGAAGAAACGAAGCTGCCGTAAACGTCTCTCTCATCACAATGCAAGGCGTCGCAAGCCACAAGGAGTTTTTCCACTGAATCCACAGAGGGATTGCAGTAAGAGCCTACAATGAACTTGACTTATTTGGTGTCTCTCTCTATCATACTCAGACACAACCTGAACTCGGGGAAATCTAATGTGAATATGTTTTACTCTTGCCAGATCCAAGACAGCATTCAAATATGTTGTGGAATGGGTTGTCCCTTAACACCAGCTCTGATGAAAAGTATGCTGCATGGAGTCCCACTTATGATACAAAGCCTACAGAGATGGAAAACGGCTTTACCTTGAGCTTCCAGAGAGGCCGTGGCCCTGAGGAGCAGCTGTATGCTGGTAGTAGCCGATCGTTCTCTGCGTTTCAAACCTCTGGAGGGTTCTCAGCAGGGAAGTCAAGCTCTCAACTTCCAGACAAAGGTTGATATGCTGACTTCTTTACTGGTCATCCTGTAATTGTAAATCTCTGGTGTTGAGTGAGTTATATGTTTTGGGCAGGTGTAGGTGAATACTCAGGAGGCCTCCATGAGTCGCAAGACTTCTACAGTGCTCTCTCTCTTCTGTCAACGTCTTCGGATTCGCATGGGAACAAACACAATCCCATCGTCGAACCACAGCCAACACATGGCACTTTCCCTACCCACTTCATATGAATAAAGAATGGGAAGTCACTCCGTTATAAGTCAGGTTGCATCCGGTGGTAGTTTCTTTTGGAATAAAATAAGAATGTGTAACGTACATTGCTTGAGCGAAACCAGTTACATGCCTATTTAGTTAACTTCTTGGATCATGCTGTATTGTATTTGTATTGTAGACTTCTTGAATTCTGTTGAATGTAAGCTTCGTTACTCTATCAGATATGTTTTTATAAACATACATCAACTGTTTTCAGTAAATGATGCATCTTGTGACAAGAGTTTTTTTGAAAAGGTTTCTTAGTGGGGAGTGGGACTCGAGAAGTCCATCTATCAGTAACTCCAGTAGTCTATAACCCATGGCTAGATAAAAGTGAACTTAGTTTTAGTCTTTTGAGCCTCCAGAAGCAACACGTGTTACATCTCCCTCTAAACTCCAAAAGAAAGAACACATTACAAAGTCTACCAGAGTTATTTTATATATATATATATTCACTGTTTAGTGTTTTGTTGACGATTAACTTTGTTACTAATTAGTAAAGAAACAAGGATACAGATAACAAAGGAACCGAAGTCGGCATACAAATGGAGGCAACTGTTCTGATAGGTTTGGATAAGTATATCCACTAACTGAAGCTAACTGGTTTTACAAATTCCAAATCACTTACTCACCTGTTTTGGTACACCATCAAATGAAAAAAATAGAGACAGTGGCTGTGCATGTGGGTGAACCAGGGGACCAGAAGAAGTTGACAGAAGAGAGAAAGCACGGTGGAAATCTTGAGATTGATAGAGTTCTCCTGAGTGTTCTCCCACACCTGCCAAAAGTTCACCTAATTTCAAAGGACTAGATATCTACCAGACCCATATATTTTAAAAGAGACCAGTGAAGAAGTGTAAATACCAAGTTGAAACTTGTCCTTCCCTGCTGAGAACCCGCCTGAGGTTTGATACGCAGATAAAGAGTGGTTGCTGCTAGCAAACAACTGCTCCTCAGAACCATTGCCTCTCTGGAAGCTCAGAGTAAAGCCGCTCTCCGTCTGTGTAGGCTTTGTCTCATAAGTGGTACCCCACACAATATTTGTATGCTGTCTATGATCTGCAAGAGTAAACATTTTACATTTACATTACCATCAAATGAAGTTGTGTGTGTTTGATGGAGACAGATAAAGAGTAGATAGATGGAAAGATCCTGAGGAAAACATTGTTCATGTCAAGCTATGGTGTCGGTTCATACCATATACCCTCTCTGGATTTGACGGTGAGAATCCTTGTGACTTGCGACGCCTTGCATTATGATGAGAAAGACGTTTGCGGCAGCTTCGTTTCTTCTCATCAAATTCAGACACGTCATGCAGCCTGAAAATTACAAAAAAAAAAAAAAGACATCAGAATTAAATGACGCCAGAACATTAATTAATCATAATATAATGGTTTTTACCTGCTACACTGTTGGCAGAATCGACAATCCACACCATTCACTGTAACATTGGGGCACTTTGAATGGGTTTCACAGACTCTATGCTTGCGGTGATAGTCCTTGGCAGATGAGAGATCCAGTTCACATCCATCAATTTGGCAACGAGGCACTTGCATGCTGCTCTGACCACACGATTTGGATTTCTTACGAGCAACAACATGAGAAGGAGCCAACAGCTTCTTAGAAACGTCATTACTGTCTCTACCAGAGTATGTCCGCTTCCCAAGTTTTAAAGAAAGGTCTGATTCAGCAGATACCTCAAGAGCTGTGGATGTCTTCTTCACCTGGACAAAATCTATGTTGGTGAAAGAACCTCTTTCTGATGCAGGCTTGGTTCGTCTGACTAAGGGAGATGATGAGTTGGTGGAGGTTGACTGTGAGCTTTTGGATACAGAAGTGGTGTGCCAGAAACTGGTTGTAGAGTCATTATTGCTGAGTCTCTGGAGGCCATCGAAACAGGGGAATATAGACTCAATTCCTTCAGTTTCCCACTCAGTAGCAGCAGTAAGTTGATTTTTGTCATTTTCAGGATTGGAGATGATCAAATTATCCCAGTCCCACAGCATCTGAGATCTCATGTTGCAGTTCACTGGAAGATGTGGATAAGATATCATAGACCCTGCAACTAAACCAACAAGCTTACATAAGAAAATAGCAAGAAGACAATCCTTGTAAATATAAAGATACGAAAACTACCTAATAGAAGGCGTCAAGACCTTTGTGACTATCAAACACACACTTATAAAAAAATCAGCAAAGGAGAAAGCTCTCTATGTTTCACACACAGAGACCAGCTAAAAGGGGGGGAAGAGAAAGAGAACATCTTTTTCTTCTTTTGCTGCTCTCTCCATCACACAAAAACTAAGTGGCATTTATTGAAATGGGCCCCAAGAATATCAAATGCAAACTAGTTGAGAAGAAACACACGATGTAAACGGAATCTAATTTAATACTCCATCTTAATTGAAAACGTTTTAACTGCTTTTTGTACTTTGCAGAAGGGGTTCCTAACTAACCCTAAGGAGGGAGGGAGGGGGGACCTAAAAGCTTTTAATCATAGAGTCTCTGCACAATGAATGAAACAATGTCAAAGAAAACGGCAACCAAAGCGATGTGTCTTTCAAAAAAAAAAAACAATGTTGACAGTAAGTTAGGTTCCGATCCCAATCACGGTCCCTAGTGTGTTGTTTTAAAAAAGTGGTCCCAAAAACCACCAATAAATTCACTTAACTAACTAACGAACGGTGGATTCTTTTTTTTTTTAAGTTATTAATCAGTGTTACTATCAAAATTATCCGAGTAATGGAAACGGAGAAGCAACAAAAATGCTTAAAAGAAGACAAAAAATAAAAAGGGAAGCGAGACACAGCAAAAAAAAACGTGAGAGAAATGATTCTAACAAAATATCTATAGCTAAGACTATTCATATTCACATCCATTGATTCGTCCAACTATCAGAAATGTAAAAGCTAGATTGTAACGAAAGATTAAAATCACAAATCTCAGGGTTTTACCAAGAACATTGGGGAAAGTAAGTAAGAGCAGTGAAGAAACCAACCTTACCTCAGAGAGTAAGAGACCGCCGATCTGAGAAGAGGAGAGCGTTTGACTAATGGCGAAAGTGAGGGAGATGTACCAATAATCTCCTCTCTATTTCTTCTTCTTCTTCTTTCTTACTTCCTTGCTTTTTTTTCTTTCTTTCTTTAATCTGTTCCTTACTGTTTTTTTTTTTCCTGTATTTTGCTACTCATGTTTTGTCGGCATTTCATTTTTATTTTCTCTTTTCGGCGTCTTTTATTTTTAAGATAATTTACTCTTCCTGAAACAAAATGTATTTTCTTGTCACAAAATACGTATTTCGCGCTTTTCCCATAGTAAGTTTTTCCTTTTTCATCACGAGACTCCGTAACGGGACTTCAATATTGATTTTTCTGCACACTACAATCACAGACAACAAAATGATGGTGAAAATGATGAATTGCTTGTAACTAATTCAACATCTACTAGCTCTCTAAACAACAATTATTAATCCAGAAAAAAGTTATCAAGTATCAATGTATCATTCATTTTAATACCATGTCAATGTCATGAACATTGTGAAATTCGTTATTCAACTGATGGGAAATTGACATTTAAATTCTGAAATTTCAAAAATAAGTAAAAAACTCTAAAACAAACTACTTTATTCCTAAATTCTTAGTCAAACAAAAAAAAATTATTATATATTTTGGGTTACCCAGGCTTTTTAATATTGTGTTTAATCAACCATCAAATCAATACTATTAATTTAGAATCACTTTTATTTTTTTACCCCTACAACTCCCTGAAATATTACTTTTCCATGCCACTGGACCAACTTTTTAAAATCAGCTATTTCATAATTAGAGCAGTTAGCTTTCTCCCTTTCTTTCTGGCCCACTTGCTTTACGTAGATTACAACAGAAATCTTTTCTGCATATAGTTAAAAGCTTACTACGATAATATTATGGGATGTTACAGCGTCAATTTTTTTTAAATGATGATTTCATGTTTAGAGCAGTCATTTTTCTTCCTTTTTTCTGGCCCACTTTCTTGCTTTACGTAGATCTGAAACTAGATATTCCAGGAATCAAAACAAATATTCTCAACTCAAATTCATACTTAATCACTTAAACAATTTAACTCATCTATTGCAGGTTTTTGTTAAAAGAAAAGATTTGATAATATCTTAACTGATATCGTTCCAATCCAAAAAAGCTCTAGGTATAAATAGAACGTGACTATCCCCAATACACATTCACACACAACTTTAAACCGCTACAAAAACATTCGTTTAACATGGAATTCGCATTTCTGGATGGCATCAAAGCACACAAACCAGAGTGGCATGTCCAAGTAAAGGTTCTCCATACTTGGAAGCAATTCACACCTATTTCAGGAGAAACATTAGAAATCATTTTGACTGATGCACATGTAAGTTTCACAACTTAGCAGTGATCTATTCATGTTTTCTCTGTTTATCCTTAACTGATACTGCTATTATATTATTATCTATTTTTAAGGGAACAAAAATCCTAGCTTCCTGCAAGAAGATGTACTTTGATCAGTTGGCGAATAAATTACCTGTTGGTATGTGGAGAAACATTGAAAAGTTCGCACTCACACCTGCCGGTGGTTCCTACAGAGCTACCAGACATAAATACAAGATGAATTTCATCCACAGCACTGATATCACTCCATCAACTCTGCAAAATGACAGCATGTTTCTCAATTTGGTTGATTTCCAAACTATTCAGACTGGAAAAACTGGAATAAACTTCTTAATTGGTTTGTTTCTAAACATATAATTTTCAATATATATTTATGTTTCAAACCCTATATTTATATTATTTATCTTCACTTTTGGAAACTATCAGATTTATTGGAGAAGTGTCAGAACTGAGAAATGTAGAAACACTTCAATCTTCGGGTAAAGAAAAAAAATTTTGAGTTTGCTTTGACAGACCTTGAGTAAGTAATTCTATTTCTTAAATCATTTAACTTTACTTCATGGTTTAACATATTGATTTTTCACAGTGGCCGTAGAATTTCTTGCTATTTATGGGGATAATTTGCTGAAACCATTCAGTCTCATTGCCAAGGAGCTGGAGATGAAATGGTTATATGCCTCTTACGCTTTGTTAAAGGTGGCACCTATCGAAGTAATATCAAAATTATCCCTTTCTACAAAACCATCCTATATTTATTTTAATTTTTGTACAATTGTTTATATATTATAATTTTTAATATCAGATGAAGTTCAAATTTCCAATTCATTTGATGCTTCTCAACTCTTTTTCAATCCTCCGATTATGGAGGCCGAGGCCTATTTGAAAAGGTATATGTGACAGTTTGATAGTTTTAAAATGACATAAGCAAAATGTTCATACAATGATCCAACAATATTAAATAATTTTTTTATAGGGCTGGTGACTTCAACGCTATGACATTGGTTGAAACTCAACAAGAAAAACTGCTGAGGGAGATACCACGTGATAAATGGATGCAATACCCACAGAAAGATATTAAAGAGCTACTTCAATCATCTCAGGTTATACTAACATATTAAAAATGAATTCCAAGAATTTTTTTAAACACATTTTTATGTTCATTTTATATGTAGATTGGCCACTGCAGAATCATTGCCAAAATCTGTGAAATTGAAAAGGATTGGGGATGGTACTATTTTAGATGCAAAAATTGCCAGAAAAGGGTTTACAAGATTGGAACAAATACTCAAACACTTAATGGGAATGAGATTACAACTCATTTGTGGTGGTGTGAAAAGTGCAAAGCTAAAGTCTTCAAAGTCTTACCAAAGTAGTACATTTTTTGTAAAAAAAATTGAAATTGTTTAGTACTTTATATTTTATTAACGATCTAATTAATTTAAATATGTTCAACAGGTTCAAGATTCATGTACTGGTGAAAGATGGTACTGGAGAAGCTCCCCTAATGATACCTGACTGAACTGCAGACGGAATTATTCATGTGACTGCTGAGTATTTACTAAATGGTTCACTTGATGAGGTAAACCTATTTAGTTGGCAAATTCATTATTTTATTTCACTGTTAATGCTTTGGTTTGAAATTATAATAAAATGTGTTTTGATATTTACACAAAATGCATATTACAACTACAAGATATTGAGTCATTCCCTGAAGCTATTACTACTTTGGTTGGGAAAACTTCCATGTTTGGTGTTGTCATTGAGAAGGACCATGTTACTAGCAAGGGTGGAATTTACAAGGTTGGAAAAGTATGGCAATATTTGGGTATGCTATTGACTTATGGTAGTACTAACTCTGAAACTCAGTCTGATGTTGGAACTACTAACCTAAGTGATTCATAGCTATAAATTAGTATGTGTAGATTAATAAATGATTAACTTAGTGTCTCATCACTGCACCAGAGTGATCCGTGAAAAGTTCTATAGGGTTCATTTTTAATGCTGGAAACTGACGACACTGCGACTCCATCATCTAAACGCAAAGCAACATCCACTGAATGTGTACCTGACATAACTTCGACTTCAAAGAAGCAATGCACCAAAGTATTTGTGAAAAAAAAAGAAAAGCCCACCAAAGATAATGAGCCAAGCTCCAAGAAAAGTGGCTAATGAAATGTTGAAGGGTGTTGTGTTTGTTTTCATTTTCCTGGTGGTTTATTTCTATAAGTGCTAATTTGCACATTTGTTTTCTTCTATTTGAACTCTAATTTAATTTGCAATAAAGTGTTTTGAGTTTTCTATTGTTTTGCGTAACTGTTTTTCCATTATTGGCCGTCTATTATTAACCACAGCATAAATATATACAATGTTACTTATATGTATTTTATGAGATGTGTTTGTAAAAAGTGTATATAAATTATATGTGGGTTACTTATACATATTTACACTTGGAAATCATACATATAAAAGCCCACTTGGAAATCAGCCATATCATAATTGGAAAAGCCCACTTGGAAATCAACCATATCACAATTAGAAACGTGGGTTACATGTTCGTTACTTATATATATATTTTATGAGAATATATAACATTACTGTAATTTATTGATACTTACTTATATATATATGTTAGAAACTAATAGTGATAATTATAATCTTTTTTGAAAAAGATAACCCACGTTCTTACAAAAGGACTCTAACTCTCATTATAAAACAAGGATATTGAGATATCCAGGGAAACCTAACTTCTCTGGTAGCAATTACCAAACATGAAGAACACAGAAGACAATACACGGAAGAGGAAACCAGATGATCAACATATTACGCCAACTCCATCATATTCCCAATCGGGTGACGGAAGAAAAACTGATATTGGCTTAAGATCAGTCTTGAGAGATGTTTCAAATTTAACTCCTGCATTATCAAATTCATGGACTACTCAGCAGTTTACTCATCCATCAAGTGTCTTAAGTTCAAGAATCAAAACTATGGTACTTTTTCTGTACTTATTTTGAGTTATATATTACTGGTTTGTATGATTTGTAATCAGTGACTAAGAATTTAAGTTCATTGTTTGCTTTATATTCTGTTGTTTCTCTCACCTACAGACAAAGCTAAAGGAAAGCAGCCTCAGTGTTCAAAGAGAGTTCGAGCTAATGGTAAGCTGGTCGATTCAAAAATACAACAGAAAATGTTATGCTTTAGGTTTTACCAACTGACAATTTTATTTGATTTTTCGTGTTGGTGAGGAGGTGATTATATCAACAAATCTGCTCACATCCTTTCAAGAGGAAGTTCATGTCTCAAAATTCAACCTACTAATCTATTACCAGCCTTCTTCAAGGCATGTAGTGCTCACCATAACAAGACAAAGAATGAATATGACACTACAGCAATTAATCACAATTTCTATGGTATGCATTTTCACATATTTTCCAAAAAAAAACATACCAACCATATATAAATAATGTTTTTTTAATATACAGATGATGGTGGAGATTATAGTGATCAGAGTTATGATGTTAGTAGTGAAGATAGTGATTCATATGAAGTAGCTACTGATAACACTGAAGAAATATCAGGAACAAGTTATGTACCAGATGAACAAATGTCTAGGATTGTGACTATGGCTGATATATTTAAAACCATGTTCCAAGACATTGTTTCACCAGTGAATGAATCCAACTCAACGTTCAACCAAAGTGAATCCTCATCTACTTTAGCGTCAGAACCGAAATCAAATACTAAAGGTAACTGTATTGTTTTT